ATGTTGGCCAGAGGCTTAGCACAAACCCTTAATAGTGATCTTCCTTTAACAATTTAAAGCAACCTGCAAAGATTTAGCTCATGTTAACTCAAGTAATGAATCTGTTTTCTTCAATATTTTAGAACTTTCTTTTCTTACCTATCTAAAAGATAACGTTAAGAGAGAAGGGTAAATTAGTCACACCGATCTTGGCAGAAGATGTTGTTTTTCCAGAATTGATCCTGACCAAGCCCATTTACATACATAAAATACACTGAGTTAGATATATTAATTTCTAACTTGAATGTTATGTATAAACCATCACGAGTATATGACTGTCTACAGTATACAATTTTATAGTCCTTCAGGTACATTGGAACTTCAAGATGTATATTTGCTATGTTGTCAATCAGTTGTCATGATAAACCAAAAAAAAAAATAGCTGAAATCAGATCTTCTGCATGGTAGAGCACTCCTGTGCCACAATACTTTCTGAACCAAGTACAGAAGACCAAATGAGTCTCATTGCTATCTTAGTCTAGTTTGTGGTTTGCTCATTTTTTCCCCAAGATAAAAACACATCTTTAAAAATAGGTATTTACTACAGTTTTTATGATATTTTGATCTCCTAAAGATTTGGAAGTATATATCTCTATATTATCTATCTATCTATCTATCTATCTATCTATCTATCTATCTATATTTGTACATTTTACATTATTTACAAAGCACTCACTGATCCAAATTAGGATTTCTAAAAATGGGCACAGTGATTGGCAGGCCCCAAAGAGCTGTTAGCTACAACTGCTGTGCTCTTCCTCCTGCCTGAGGATCATAGTAGACCCCTTCTGACAGGAAGGGAGGGGTATGTGTCTGGTGATGGGTTCTCTAAATGTTTAAGATGTGGAGGTAGAGATAGTTCTGTCTGCACTGGGATTAATAAAATTAAATGACAAGACTTGAGCCCCATATTGTATTACTGATTGAAAGTCTGTAGACTTGTTTTGGTTTAGCCAGGAAGGATATTGAATTTTTAAACCTTTCAATAGGACAGCTTTCTCTGATTTCATCCAAGCCCCACCATCTCTTGAGTTGTTAGGAAGCTGAAGGTATTCGTATTTATCTCACTATGTCTAAACTGATTGGTAGATTTTGTTCCACCTCCTGGAATCCTAGATTCTGGTTCTGAACATGGGACCAAGTCTGCGTAATTTATAGGTCAGACACCCACTTAGATTGTGCAGGTCCTTATCTCCAGTTAAGATGGCACTAATGAACTTTATGATGGTGTTGACAAAATTAGGCAGAGTCCCACTCACAGGGAAGATCATCCCCATGGCTAGTACCTCTATGTTGCTACTACTTTGCTGTTTTCCCCCTAACATGATCCCATCTCAGTTCTATTCTCTTGATTTTCACTACTCACATCCAATGCAATGAACAAAATTCTGTGTAAGGGATTAGCAGTTTTAATGGGAAAAGATGAGATAACACGGTGGCCAGAGGGCTCAGACTAATATCTTTTACTAATTGACAATTCTCAGTCAATGAAGCAGGTCTTGTTTGCCTTTCATTTCTGTACCTATAGAAAAGCTGATGCAAGCAAATAGTAGTATGCGAATTCAAAAAGGAGGTAACTTTAGTAACATAAGATTTATTTAATCAAAATTAAACCCCTATGTCATATTTAACAGGCCCACAATATTCCTACTTATTAGCAAGGTTATAAAATATACAATGAAGTAAAATAAAATCTTTTCTAATGTAAAATCATAACAGAACCTCAAATGATAAGTACCACAAATGCACTATCTCCTTTGTCTCAACATTTTTTGATACACTTGTGAGAATTACATGCCTGAGTACCTGATGTACTATATATAGTTTAGAAAGTAGGTATTGACTGGTGTGATAAATGTTAATGATGGGAACATAGTTTTTCCCTGTTGCATATATTGCACAGTACTGTATATCTAGGAATTCTCAGGTTCATTAATATATTTATTATTCTTGAGCTTAGGATAATCCTTTTATTTCATGCCATCAATTTTTAACATATAGAATTATTACTTATTTCCATAAGTTGTTTACCTTGTGCAAAGCCAACAATTAGAGGCAAACCAGGAAGTGAATAAAATTGAAAAGTGACTCCAATGGGATGAGGTACATAAAATCTTAGCATTCACATAGTTTCCACACCATAAACCACCTCATTCTTTGCTGTGTACATATTCTATGAGAACTCCAATGGACTATATTATTGACAAAATTTCCTGTTCCTCTGTAATGTGGTATTCACCTGATGGCTTAATTCATCTTCTGACCCTTTCAATCGTCAGTTTGTCCCTTGCCTCAAATCCATCAACAAAATGATTTTTATCTCCACAGACATTCTACTAGTGCATTACAGGCTGCCTTCAAAGCTCCAACCATGTGCAAGGGCAAATTTACTTTTAACAGATGTATATTCAAAAATTAAAAAGCAAAACAAATTGCTCCTGGCAAGTTCAGACTCCCTCAAGGCAAGGACAGCATAAAAATGGCAGGGAGCAGCAGTATGTCATTTGTGACCACAGTACGGAAACAAACTGAGCTGTACTGACTCGAACAAGTAACAAATTAGAAATATGGAGGGCATGCTGGCCCCACCATTTTTATTCCTTCTAACTCCAGGAGTCACAGAGAGAGAGAAATGACTAAATCTCTATTTTAATAGCTGCTGTCAAGAGTTTTGCTCTGCAGGGCCTATTTCAACAGTTCCTCATGGTAATATATGGCATTTCCCTGATTAACGGCCATTTTATAACCTGTGTAATTGGCCACAAATCAGGAAAATGTCATAACGTAGCACGAAAACATTCCCATCTCCGTCATGGCCTTGGCTTGGTTTTCTGTGGGAATTATTGCTTGAGTAGTTTGTGGGTTTTCATTATTTTAAATAATGAACTACCTGAAGTACAAAAAAAGACATTTAAACTAATGAACATTTCTGTCTCCTAACCCTTTCTACTACCTCAGTCCTCATATTTTCCAAATGAAATTGTGCCCTTTTATGTGTAATGTTAGGAATTAGGAGAAACAGGGTCAAAGACAGGATTGGACACAGTGTAAAGTATGCACAGCAATGAAATCTGAATGATCACCCCAAAACTCAGTACTCAAAATAGAAGTATTTTCACAGAATATATATGTTTTTGGAGACAGGGTCTCATGTAGTCTAGGCTGACCAAAAACTTCCTGTGTAACCAAGGTTGACTTTGAACTTCTGATCCTCCTGCCTCTATCTCCCCCCTGCTGAGATGACAGCTATGCACAACCACACAGTGTATGAGGATCTAGGGGCTGAATCCATGGCGTCAAGCACAATAGGCAAGCACTAGTCACCCCAAATTTTATAAAATCAAAATTAATACAAAGGAAATTCATGAAGAATAATACGTCAAATGTTTGACTAAAGAGACACTCTGGCTCTGTATTTGTACATGAACTTTAATGCCTGAATAAAACTCCAGCCTATTGCATAGGGATTAGATAGGAAAGAGTGGCTGCAAAGGAATTGGGTCAATTCTACTTGTGCAATAAGAAAACAGTCCATGGGTCTTCATAGTCAATCTTTTGCTGCAGTGAAGGCATCACCGCTACAGAAATTTGAAACCAGGAACTTGTGGAATGCACAGTCCAAAGCATTTTGTTATCAAAGTGAGTAAGAATAGAGATGGCTCTTGTAATTCCTTATCAGTTGGTAAGGGAGTCCAAGGTATTTCACTTTAAGGCATGCCAAATGTCTGCTGTATCAAGCTTCATGTTTTTCAACACAAGGAAAACTTAATTTAAAAAATCTGTCATCATTCACTTCTAATTTATTATTAACGTAAAATTAGTAATTACTTCATAATTTGCAGTAGGCTGCATGTCATATATTATAAGTTCAATGTTCCAAAAGACCGTATGTCTTTCTTGAGGAATATAAAGTCCGTATCAGCAATGGTTTCACAGTCGATGAGAAAGACTTAACAGGCAGGTTAAGTGTGAATTGGATATTCCATTGTTTCTTACAGAAGATATCTCAGCAAAGATTGTTTTAATGTTTTTAAACAGAGTCTCATAGTTATTTAATGGTTGTTTGATGGATTGAGTAAGTGACTGAAAAACTAAGGATGGAACCTAGGATCTTGTGTACAGGAGCTGAGTCCTCAATCATTGAGCCATGGTCCCAGCTCAAGGACTTATATGTAATTTGCCCTGATCTTGAACTTGCCATCTTCTTGCCCTTTGTGCCCAGCATCCATAATGCTGCTGAACTAAAATGTGATGATCTGTTATAAGGTGTGTAGATGAAGAAATACAGGAGAATGAGCAAATTTAAGGAGATGGAATACCACTATGAACACATGGCAAGTTGGGATGACAGTATACGTGAGGTCTATGTGTAGCAATGTTTGGGAGGTGGATGCAAGCCAGATGACGCTAAGGCATGAGACTAGAGAAACAGGAAAAAAGTACTGAGAAACAGGTGATGCTTGAATGAAATGATAGACACAATAGCTTACACTGATAGCAGCCATGTTTACAAACATTAATAATATATCAGAGTAGAAATTGCTTTGTACACTTTTACCTTTTCAATGAAGAAGACAATACACAACTATTTTATAAATATTTAAAGACTTCAGAACCTATTGACAAAACTGAAGATTTCACTAACACATTTATGTCACATCATCCTAGCTCAGTATTTACTTGAATTTTATTTTTAAAACCACACCAAATGGAGTTTAGCAGCTTACAGCTTTATCACACTGAAAAGTTTTGTTTTCAATAGGTGAAGCAATGCTGTAGAGACTAGGTTAAAATTATGAAATTTTGCTTGGTGAAGCTTAAAGACTAAGTGTTGTCAGGCCTGTAAGAAAGGTCAGTTGTATTATGTATATAAGTCACGGCTCACAGTTTCATTTTTTAACAGTCTCCTCCCACTATAATGCTATTAACCTTAACATAATAGAAACCATGACCACACTAACCTTTCACAGCATTTTCTAGCTTCTTGGCCTCATTAAGGATCCTGAAGCTTTTCTGAAGGGAGCCTTTGGCATCTTCCTTTAATAAGCCCTGAGGACTTGTTGCCTATGGACAGAAGAAAAGGTGTCACGTATTAAACCATAGAGTGGTAAGGCACAGAAGGCAGCAGATATACAGAGCTTCCTTTAAGGCCTCTGGGTTTAGAGTTGCAGATTTTCAATGCATGTTTGATGATGAGAAGCTGTTTACTGTGTGAGAGCATTGGGGCAGAAACCTTCCAATGGTACCATTTAGACAGGTAGACAAAATGGGGCTGATGAGGTGCTCTGGATTCCATAAATGAAAGCTGGATATGTTGCAGTGGCATCATCTCACAGCATTCAGGGCTACAAGTTAACAAAATGAAGAACTAAAAATATCCATTGACTTTACCTCTCATCATATTTAGTTTTACAGGATGAGCAGAAAGCCCTTCCTACATTCTCAGTGTTGAAATGGAAACAAAAACTAATCTCTTTTTAAACACGTCTCCAAATTCCACCACAAAACATGAACTTCTAATTGAAAATCTTAGCACCCAGGGATCTCTAGCCAGTATGTATTAGCTCAGGATTAGATATGATCAGAGTGTGACACAAAAATAATAGAACTGGAAAGGGATCGCTTAACTTCCTGTCTCGTTATCTATTTAAATAGTATTTGCTTTTTAGAAGCCTTTGCATAACACATGTATACCAAGAGGTGAATCAAAAGGATCTGATGTGTAAACTTTAAATGGGAAAGTATTCAGAGTACAAGGGTTGGAGAATCTGAACTGCCTATAGTTAAATTTATATATCTGAATTTGGTTTATTCCAGACATGACACTCTTCAAAGGCTAAAGATTTGTCACTCAAATTGATTAAATAAAATGCCAATTGGCCAGTAGCCAGGCAGGAAGTATAAGAGGACCAACCAAACTAAGGATGATGATGTGAATGAAAAGGGCAGAGTCAGGAGATGCCGGCCAGACAGACACATAGAGAGCAAGTGGGCAAGCCACATTGAGAAAAGGTACCACCGCCTGGCAGAGCCTAAATAAGGAATATGGGGTAACTTAAAATGTAAGAGGTAGTTAATAATAAGCCTGAGCTATTGGTTGAGCATTTATAAGTAATATTAAGCCTCTGTGTGGTAATTTGGAAAGTGGCTGCTGGTATTTGGGACTGAGCAACTCAGACAGGAAACTTCTACCTACAGCTCACTGGAAAGCCAATCTTGGATTAGAATTGTATGAAAATTCTAGAAAGAGGGGACTCTGTGGTCCAGGTTTTATCTTTGGAACTGATATAGCAACACTACTCAAGTATTATTTATTTTGGAAAAAAGATTTGCAAAACTGAATTGTACTTAGGGTAAAGAGAATGTGACAAATAATGTACAATGTAATTCATGTAGCTATAAAGAAAAACGAGATCATGAAATTTATAAGAAAATCAATGGCCTAGGAAATCAATATGTTAAGTAAAATAAGCCAGACTCAGAGGACAAATATAACATGATATGGCATGCTTTCTATCATATGTGGATCATATATATTATATGGAATATGCATATACTATATATGTATATACATACACATACTATATTATATATATACACACATATATGGTGTGTGATAGAACTAGAGAAAAGACCATAAGATGACCAATCTTTTTTATTTAAATTAGAAACAAGCTTCTTTTACATGTCAATCTCAGTTCCTGCTCCCCCCCCCAATCCCAATCCTTTTCTGCTCTCCAGGGAGGGTGAGGCCTTCCATGGGGAATATTCAAAGTCTGCCATATTATTTGGAGCAGGGCCTAGGCCCTCCCCAGTGTGTTTAGGCTGAGAGAGTATTCCTCTATGTGGAGAGGGCTCCCAAAGTAAGATGAACAATCTTAAACGAAGAAGAGAGTAATGAAACAGAGGGTAGTGAAAGGTATATGGCATGAAAGAGGAAGCAGGATTATCGGAGGGATAAAGGGACCAGCATGAGAAGCAGGAAAGGATGGGGCAGGGAAATACAAATGAACAAGAACAGAGTAGATATGAAAAAGGCACATGGAAACCAGTTACTTTGTATACTCACTCAACAATTAGTAAATAACAATGAAAAAGAGAAATAAGTGAGTTGTGTGGCACAACAGGTAGGGTCTGCTGATGTAGAAGAGCAGGAAAGTTATAAGCTGCAGGCCAGCCTGGGCTATAGCTTTTTTAAAAATTAAAATAACAATAAAAATGAAGATACAACAATAAGCTGAATTCCATGTACTTGACTAAAATTCCACATGCTTTACTATAAGAAAATAAGCCTCAGGTTATTCAACCAGTTTCTATATTTATAATTAATGTACATATCATCATTTGCCTGAGTCTCAATTTTATGAATCAAAACAGATTAAAGATAGGATATTACAAAGAGAAGCCACATGACAATTATCTAAGGAGACCTAAAAACAGAAGAAGTGACAGCTGACAATCTGTTTGACAAAGGAAAGCAAGACAAGAAAGCTAAGCAGGAGAGAACATTTCCAAATCTTAGGATTTCAAGCAAATGGAGAGGGTCTATGACCATATAACCCTGGAGGCACCTGATCTTGTCTAATTAATCTCCAAAGCTAAGCATGGTTTTGGCCTGGTTAGTACTCTGGGAGATAATTTGGAGAAGGGTACAGTGTATGTGAGTAGAATTCTTGGCAGAGGAGAATATTATTGTAGTAAGATATCACAGGATGATAATGGTGATCCTGAATCATGACGATAGTGTGGATCATTCACAATTTAGATAAAACTTGAAAAAAGAAAGGAAACCAGTGAAAAATGAGAACATTTTTTTGTGTGGAGGCTGAAGTACAACCTCCAGCACCATAGATGTCATCCCTATGGGCTGCCACCATTTGTCTTTGACATACAGTCTCCCACTGGTTTTGAACTCCCAGAGTCAGGTTTGGCCAGCTGCCCAGACCCCCAGGGGTCAGTCAGTATCTGCTTCCTCAACTTTGGGAATACAAGCAACTATGCTTAGCTGAGGTTTATCACATGTATTCTAGGGATCAAACTCAGGTCCTTCTGTATAGACTGAGGCAAGCTTAATGTCTTGGCATACATACATACATACATACATACATACATACATACATACATACAACCTTGAAAGGAACATCACAATAAAACTGCCAAATAATGTTGTCATTTAATTTTCTTGTCTTCCCATTCCATCCACCCATATCTTCTCCTACATCTTCCCTCCATTTCTAAGCATTCATCTTATTTCCAACATTATGTTCGCAACTTAGACAGTCTTCTATGAATTTAATAAATTCATCACAGTCTTTAAAATAATCTAGCTTCTTGCATTTGGATGCATTTGGACGTTCCTCAGTGCTGTGTGTCAATATTTGATTTCAACTGCTGGGCAGTTTCACTACATGGATATGCCTCAAACCATGTATTTGTTTGTCACCTGATGGTTATTGGGATTATATTTTCTGCCCTGGGTATTCTAAAGAGAGCTTCTTTGATCCTTCTTGCATGCTGGTTTGTAACATGTGTTTTCATTTCTTTATGAGTAAATAGCCTGAAGTCGAAAGACTAAATCTTATGTAGAGAGTTTAAGAAATTACCACTAGATTGACAAAGTATTGAAGTCCCCATCAATAGAATGTTCTATTTCTGTACATTCTTTCCAACACATCATCACAATTTTGAAAACTTTGACATCCTAATAAATAGAAATTTTGCTTTTAGTTTCAATTTTTCTGTTGATGCACATGTTAAGCATCTTTTTGTGTGTTTGTTGTTCTTAAGTAGTTCTTTTATATTATAAGTTCTTAATACTATTAAAATGTATCCGTAGGTCTACAGTGTTTTGGGGATTACTTTTGGGTTATGGTAGAAGACATTTTTAACACAAATATCCAATTCTTCTGATTGCATTTATGGACTTGACATGAATTGCTTTTGTGCATTGTACATATATAGCTTTGATGCACCTCTGGACTCTTCTTTTTAGTTGTCTTCTTGTTAATATTGACCGACATCACATTGTTTACACACCACAGTTTTGTACAAAAGCTTAAAGTCCAATTAAGGAACTGTGTCAGTGTTTTGTTCTTTATTCCCAGTGAATTCTTCTACAGCTGTGCCAATTTCTAAAGAATAAAAGCTAGCCATGTTTTATTAGGATTTCTTCCAATGTATATCCCAATGTTTTTAAAATTGTCAGCATACAAATATTGGATTTTCTGATCAATAGACATTGTATATCTCTTGATTACTCAGCTTTTTAAAATTTATTTTAAGAATATTCAGTTTCTGGGCATTTTGAACTTTTATAAAATTTATTTTTATCATCATTATAAATGCTATTGTCCATTTTAACTTCAGCTTCCAATTCTGTGTTGACAGAATCTGCAAATAATTGATTTTGTATATTTTGTTAACATTGATCAAGTTGTTTATCAGTTCTAGTAACATTTTCAAGTGATCTCACCACAGTGGCTATCAGACCTAAACACCATGAACATTGTTGTATATTGCTTTCAGTGTGGGTCACTTTTGTTTTCTCTTTTCCTGCCTATTGGGCTGGCTCTGTTCTGCACTACAGTATTGAATGAAAGTAATGAGAACAGATCTTTTCCCTTTTCGTGAACTAGAAAGAAAACTTTGAAACATTTTACTCCGAAGTATGGTACTGGTGGGTTTTCTTTTATGCAACAGACCTTCTTATGAGTGGGTAGAGAAGTTCTCTTAGTCACTGTATGCAGAGAATATTTTTAAGAAATGACCTTGGTAGACTGATTCCTATTTTCTTGAGGAGTCACCATACTGATTTCCAAAGTGGCTGTACAAGTTGGCACTCCCACCAGCAGTGGAGAAGTGTTCCCCTTTCTCCACATCCTCTCCAGCATAAACTGTCATTGGTGTTTTTGATTTTAGCCATTCTGACAGGAGTAAGATGGTATCTCAGAGTTGTTTTGATTTACATTTCCCTGATGGCTAAGGATGTTGAACACTTTCTTATGTGTCTTTCAGCCATTTTAGATTCCTCTATTGAGAATTGTCTATTAAGTTCTGTACCCCAT